ATTATTATTTCACGGGAGAAAAGGGGATATACGCAGAAGAGATGGAATAATCTAACAAAGATGATAAATATCTGACTTAGAAATCGTTTATTAACAGAAAAGTTAATACCATCATCCATACAAATTAGCTTCTTAGGAGTATCTTAGTTCTATATCATACGAAATATCTTTTTTACTATTCTTATTGTTAATCGAAATATTTCAAATATTGAAATTCGTCGATGTACCGATTCTAAAATACTTTGCCCAAGAAGCGGTTCTTTTTGAACGAAACAATCGATTTGAAATCCGCGCTCGCGCATGCGCATAGCGGTTATCGAAAATCGAATATAATAGAGCAATTCCCGCGCATTTTACTCGTTCGCGCGTTTTTCTCTCAAACATACACACGACCGCGTCGTACTGCTATATTACGTTGTGCTAGAAAATACTTTGAGACAAGCTGTTAAAGAGTATCAAAAGGTGTTTGCCTCATGAATAACGTTTTGTGTTACTGTCGTGTCTCGTTAACGGAGAGTTAATTCGAAGATTAATCTCGTAACAAAGCAGCATGAAACGTCGTAGGACAAAGGCCGGTATCGCAGCCGTTGTATCAGCAGTACATTCGGTAGTGTAAAATTTAAGTTTGATTATGCGAAACGATATATTACAACGTTTGTTTTGTTACCCATGCTTGAGTAATTTCTTTGTTGTTGTTTCTTTTCTTAAATGTATTCTATAAATCGCGTTACAACTTGAGATATAACATCTATTAGACGAATATTGACACTGGGAGATATTAAGATCTCTGGCGTTCATTCGTAATTCCATTAAGAATTATTACCGTTTCTTTTTTTATATCCAGTAAGAAAGGAAAGATAATATAAAAAGCACATGTTATGTAAAAATAGAATAAAATCTACTATTTTCCTATAATATAACCTCTACGAAGGTTGTTTCAATTATGCGTCGTGGATAATTTTTATACAAGTTAGAGTTTAAACATATGTAACATTTGGTAGAGGTTCGAAACTTTATCTTGGAATTACCGTACTTCTTCATAAATTGACGATACGAAATTAATCGCGGTAAATTACTTTCCACCTAAAATACGCTAAATAAACCTTTAATTTTTATGAAAATACTGCATAAACGATAAAAAGAATGCTAGACTCGTATATAACATTGATTAATAATTCGATTCAATAATACAACGGATTTGAATTTCATCACTGTAAACAAGTAACAAATTACATAACCAAAATCATACAAATCTCAATATCCTGATTTACGTTAACCCTATCATTATAGTTCATCCTTGAGTAACGTGTACCTGTTTTTGCTGGGTGCTAGTTTTTTAAATGTAGACTCTGGTGGGGTTGTAGGCACCTTAACTTCTCCAACAATTTGCGGTGCTTCGTAACTATTAGGATTTGGCCCATAATGAAATTCCCTATGTAACTTTCCCGTATATAAATCTTGTAGGAAACTTTTTAATTTTCCTTCTACATGAATATCATGGAAGTTTGGGAACAGGTACATGTGTCTAAAACTATCTATTGCAATTAGAGGCAAATCTGCTGGAGACTTCCTTAAATGATGGAGTGGATGGGCAAATTTAATACCATCTGCAGTTAGGAAATTGACATTTTCTGAAACGATAAAAAACTATCATTGCTTTCATCCACTGGAGAAATTAAATTCGCGAATTAATTGTTTCCTTACGTTTTTCATCGATTAGTGTCTTTGTTACTACATCTTTGTACATTTTAACACTCTCAATATCGTCCGGAGCGTGAAACAATATAAGGAAGGGTAAACCTTCCTCTGTTAATTCCTCTGCATTTTCAAATGTGATTTCCCTTACAAGGGGAACACACTTCTCTTGTGCCCAAACATTTAATTCGTCAAAATTATTTAAACTTCCTTGGTAAGTTTCATCTTCGTCGTTAGAAAGTGCCTTGTCAGACCGGAAGACTATAATAGGGTCTCCTGGGGGGTGCATAGCTCTGCTTGCATTCCTAATTAAACCATTGAACAATTAAGAATAACTTTTACATTAAAATGAATTTTTATGTATGTTCCAAATAAAACTGCAAAGTAAAATATGCGAGGAAAGGCTTGTTAAGCATTTATGCTTGGGTATTGCACAAGAGTAAGGTTCTAACAAAAGAGAGAAATGGCATTTGTGATAAATTTGAGAAGAAATATATGAAAACCAACTAATAACACTAATGTCACATGCAATATCTTACTTACAAAAAGTGAAAATGTTCTCCAATTTCACAGTTTTGAGCAGAGCATGTGCTTGTTAGAGAAAGAATAATAATAGTTACATACACTTGGTAGAGTTGTCGAATAAAATTTGTTAAGAAAGAAAAATAATGTTAGTCATCTGTGTATTTTTAATAAATAATCCTTACCCAAAGCCAACATGGAACTGGCAATCATCTTTCAGATTAGTGGCAACTCTCCTGAACATTTTATATTCAGGAACATCTTTCCTATCGAAATAACCAATGATCATTCTCTTCTTATCATCTAAATCAAATAATTCCTTCAAATCATAGAATTCCTTAATGGGATCCTCTAATTGCTTCCTTATAAATTCCTCAAAAGCTTCCACAGAGCGCTGACCTCTGTATTCTCTCTTAGTTTGTTGACCATTTCTTATAACTTTCAAGGTAGGATATTTAGTTATGTGAAACCTTGAAGCAATAAAGGCTAGAAGATCATTTTCTCTTTAGCAATCAATTTTATATACATATTATAATAAAATCATTCGAATGTTGGGTATGGTTTTTTTTCTATCTACTCACACTCCTTTTCACAATCTACTTTAGCCATAACTACTCTTCCTGGCTCAGGAAATGCATTTCTTATTTTATTCGCAGCTTCTTCGAAAATAGGGGCTAATGAATTACTAAAACGGCACCACTGTGCGTAAAAATTTATAAATACCAATTCATTTGTTGCTAGAATGACAAAAATAAAAATGCAACACTTTGCCAGCAACCATAACACTCTATGCATTTCTTATCTCTATGCAACTCACCAAGCGTCATATCGATATTTTGTTGAGTAAGCGATACCGCACCTTCGTTTGCATCGTTTGCTAAATTGTTTGGTAAAAATGCCTAAAAACGAAAATATCTTAGAGTCCCCGACTTACTATCACCTCGTGAAATATATCTATCAGATACAGAAACGTGTTAAGATGTACTCGTGCGTGAAATTTTTAGGATAACGGCATATGGATAGGATGAATTAAACGACGATAAATTCGCAAACAATGGGATGGGTAAAGGATGAATTAAAATAACAGGAAAGGATTGCAAGTAATGTTTTATTTTACGATATAGTCTTTTCGCCGGTTTCTCTCCCCTCTCTAACATAGAACAGTTTCAACTCGAATGATTCATAATAAATGTATACAATTGTTAACTTTAGTCTTGGAAAGGTCGTTTAATCAATTTTTTAGGTTATTTTTTTGTGTACGTCTACAGGTTATGCCGCAATCTAGACCATGAAATTATACCAAGTGTCGTTAAAATGAATCCAAGATTAGCGGGCTATGGTAACGGGAAATAGGCTTCCTAGAATTCGTAGATTCCCAAATACGTGTCACCGTACGTATCGTTGGCGGTATTCAAAAATATGTGTCACATCTTTTGACAAAACGAGATGATAGACTATTTCAAACAGTACTCACCAATAGACACGCAAATATAAGTACTTTGAAGTGAAAAATATCACAGAAGACCAACATGTTGTGATCTTGAACTATAAATTTGATCAGGCAATATCCTTTTGAATAACCATCAGTAAGCAGCTGCCTCTGCGACAAGTGCCACGAATTTGCGGTAAATCGAAGTCTAGTAAAATCCTCGAGGCATCGATTCACCAGGGATGGCACATGTATTGTATAAATTCTCTATGTAGGAATTATACCTGTTTCGCTTCTCTTTGTTCAATTTGTGCCTATCATCGTGGTGTCTCGTTCTAGTATCCGTCCAATGTCCCTGCTTCGTTATTTTCCCTATCTAGTTTGCACGTTTCTAGGGCATTTTTAGAATGTTGCAGGCCTTTAAATAATTCCCTAGCCGTTGACCAGTACCATCCTGCTACATCTTCCTAGCCCGTTCAAATTTACGGCGGGATTCTAGTTCCTCCGTTTCTTCTACAGTTACATATGCAGTACATTAGACCAACATAGAAACTTTTTCTCATTCAACTTTCCTCCAGATTTATATTTCACGTTTTTTCTCTACTTTACAATCTGTACTTCCCAGAAAATACGAGAACCATTTCTAACCGCAAAATGAACTCGACAATAAAACCATTATGCATCCTAATCTCCGTGAAAATTCCAAGGATTGTCCACGCGAGTTTTAATCATCCAGCTGATTTACAAGCGTCTAGCGAAAAGTTCAAGCCAACGACTCTCCATATCGTAAAGTGAAAAAGGTTGAATAGATTTCGGAAAATCGCAGGAGCGATTTCTATGGAGGGTAGCGAGGATCTTTCTATTCGGAAACCACAGCATGTTTAACGTTCTAACTTATCCTTTCCCTCGACAATCGACGAACGAAAGATGAGCAACTGTTCTTCCGACCGCAACAAACTTACCTGCTGTAAGGATCGCACGACGCGTCGCGGAAAGTGCAATAAAACAATCATACATCTGTAATCTCCGTGTAAAAGCGAATTATCGGCTACATAGAGGGCAACAATAACATTCACCGGGTATCTTGCCGTAGCTGCAAAACACCGTGACTTTACGAATCCTCCTACTTCACAGACGAAATTTCAATGTTCAGGTACACCTGGGTGAGAGTCCTCGGTCCTCGACGACATAATCCCCATTGAACGAGTACGAGGGCTCTCCAGGCACGAACTTCGATAATAATTTATGGCTGCACGAGGCTCCGGTGCAACGCTCGAACGGGGTGTGCTGTCGTGTAAGCCACAGCTTAACCGTAATTTACAACAAAATCCAATTTTCCCAATTCTACGTTTATTCGCAGCTCGAAACACCCTTTCGCCTACCGTTCGTTCGAACAATCTTCGTTAAAAATTAGCGTAGACTGCATCGATACATTTTCGAAACTAGCTCGAGTTAAATACACTCTCTTAACAGACTAGAACGACAGTCGGAATGACTTTGAGTTCGTAGGGACCATTATACCTTTTCACGGCCGACGTTTTTAGTCCTCTCCGCGGGTGGGTGAACTTGGAATGTGCCGATGTCAATCTAGCATCTGAATAGACCAACCGTAAGAGCTTGTCAAACGTTCACTCGTGAATTCTTTCTCTTACGATTTTCGCTAGAAACGCGCCGCCCCGAGCCCCCATGTAAATTAGGATAAGCTGTCGCGGCTGTACGTACTAATTAATTGAACACTACTCGCGATTAACTGTAACATGCTACGGTGACACTTGTCCGCCGGCGTTCTTTGACACTGGATCGGCCGCGCCGTTGGATACTAGTTGAACAAACGAGTCTGTTGAAAGATAAAACCACACAATGCACCACGGGACTCTGCATCCGACGATATTTCTCTTCTGAGAAAAACTTTAACGCGACTTCTAGGGCGGCATTGACTTTTGCTGCGACAAACGACTTGCCGACTTTTCCTCTAAAAAAAAAAAAAGTGAAGGAAATATCCGTACCGAGGAGCATTTCGTTCTGCAGATATTTAGTGGAATTTATTACGAAACTCGGTTGGTTTTATTCTGTCAGTTGGTAAAAGAAAGGTACCTGCATACATCGTTCGAGAAAGTCGTCACTTTTTAATCCCTTTATTGCCACGATTGAGAGAATAGAGGTAACGACGACTCCCCGCTAATTAAAATCTATCGGTAAAAGACGAGCCGACAAAGGGTGAACGTAGTCCCATTTTTTCTCGAATCACCGTCATTTTTCTCCAAGGGTGCCGTCGTCCCCCTTTCAAACTTTACGCCAGCCAATTTGGCGGTCGCGCGATTGTTTCTCGGACGATTGTCCAAAGGATTAGTCGTTGATTGTCCGCTTCTGTTAAATATGCCCGGTTGATTACTCCCCTGCCTTTTGTCCTTTCTGCGTTTCGACGGAAAGTTACCTGTGGCTTTAAACTGTATAGTGTCATAATATTTATCGCTGCCCCCGTCAATCCGGGGTAATAAGATATTCCCAGGTTATCCGTTAACCCTAATTTCTACATCTTATTATCGCAGTTTAACCGGGAAACTTTGGGTTAATCGCTTGAAAGTTTTCTGACGCTAGCTGGTAAATTGGCACGGAACGGCTCGGTTGCGTCATGAATTCGCGTACAACGTGACGGCTTCCTTTCAACGATAGATATTCTCACGGGTTCCATGGTATTCTAGTTCTTCTTCTATCGTTTCTCTCCTCCTTTTGGAACGCAACAGGTCGTATTGTGACGAAGGTGTCATTCCGTTCAAATGGGATCGGCGGGAAGACCCGTTCGGCTCGATTCTTGCGTCTCTACGACGAAGCAGAAATTTATGGACTTGGGTCGGACGTTTTCGAGAACAGGTACACGCTTTTTCCCTTGTTCTCTCACCTCGCAGATCGCTAATTCATCCCCTACGAAATCCGTCATCGGCACCTTTGATAATTCCCGAACAGGTTACTATTAGAATTAGAAGAGGGCTTCCGTGTACGATGTTGGAATAACAGATCTTTCGTAATTCGATCTTATCGATTATCACCACTAGCGATCTACCGGTCTTTGTCTGGAAAACGATGGGTAATAAATGAATATCGCAACGCGATCAGGCCAACCTCTTTATACGCTACTAAAACTGTTTTCTCTTTGTGGCAAGTGATTAATGACGAAGCACTGTTTGCTATCCATTTGTCTAAAGCTGAACAGGCCGGAACAATGAACCGGTCCGCTAATCGGACGGTAAAAAGTTATTAGAATCGGCTCGATAGCTTATAAACACCGACCTAATTTCGCTGTTATCCTTCCAAGAAGTAGGGATTTAGTTGGGGAAAATGAAAATTAAGGCCAACAGGTAGAGGGTTGCTCTTTATATGTATTAGCTTTGCAAATATTAGATCTTTCGGAAATATTTGAAACGTGGCCAGGTAAGAAGGAGCACGAGAACCACCATGTAACTGGTCTGTTTATGTACAAGATAACCAATGATCTCTGGTAAACGCTGTAATCTCTTGTTTACGGCCTCGTAATCCTAACCCGATTAACAGCGACGTACGAGTTAGCAGGACAGATCCGACTAATCTTGTTCCGTGGCGAGGTACACGATCCGATCGGGTTCGAATAGGCTTTCTTCCCTTACAGGAGGAGTCGTGAGCGACCACGTTACGCCGATCATCGTGTGAAAACTGCAAAGTCTCGCTCCATTAGCTCCGAAGACTAGTCCCATTGTCGGGGGAACGTGGCCCTCTCTCTCCCTCCAGTTTCTTCCGAGACTAAGTATTTCCTTCTTTTTTTTCCTCTTCCTCCTTCTCCTCTCTCCGCCATCGTCTCCTCTACGTTTTCTTCCAGATCCAAGCATAAGTTAGAAACCCGTCAAGACTAGTGACCTGCTGATCCCGATGATGCTTCCTTCGACCAGGTAAATCGCGTATAAAATTGACCCGTAGCTAGGAAGAAAAGGTTTCGACCCCTAATGACGTCTCGACGGACCGGTCCGTCATCAGAAATATGCCTTCGAGTCATCTTCTCTGCATCGTGGAGAATTTTGAGGAAATTCGACGTGGAGGAAACGAGATTCCTTTCGCCGAATTACCTTATTGGCCGCTATTGTGCTTAATTGCCAACCCTTCGCGACGATACCTAACCAATAGACCCATGACCGGCGATTTCCAGCAAACTATAAAAGTTGTTGAGTTACGATTAACCGTAGGAAAGCGTTCGTTTTTCGGGAATATTAGTTCTCGTAAAACGATAGCTCATGTTTATGCGCTCACGAACTCGGGGCCTCTTTAGAAAAGAGCGCCGAAAGACTGTTATAGCCCGAAAGAAATATGTTACGAGACTTCGCTGTGTCCTCTTTCTAGAAAATAAACGCCGCCCTGGCATTTCCTTAACCCGTGCGAGCAGTTCGGGTCCGCCGTGCAATCGACAACTTTGAGATATCGAGAAATAGAAGTCGTTTCTTTCAGCATAAATCCGGGAAAAATACGAGAAATCGGGGACAGCCGATTTCTTATTGCGGATACCCGAAATCTGACCTGCCTCGGAATCCTTCCGATTTGCATCGGTCCACTGCCCTTGAATGTCTCTCGAAAAATGCGCGTCTTTCGCACCAACGTCCTGGTAAATGCACAAAGCGCACTTTACACCCCCGCCGCTCTCTCCGTTTACCGATTTGACACACGCCGTACGAAAGTGCCGTCTGATTCGTCTCTTCGTCGATGACCGGCGAAAGAATCGACTTTTTCAGAGATCCGCAGGTCCGAGAACCCCGTAAAAAAAAAGAGAGTTGGTGAAAGAGAAGAGGACGGTGAAAAGTAGCTGCGGCGAAGGAAGGAGTTTTTGTAAAAATTCCCACCTCTCCGGGGAATCGATCGTCCGCGTGGGAGTACTGTTTACCGGCGGAGCAATTTACCCCTGGCCGAGACGCTAAGCGGCTTATTAGGGGACAATGGTTAGTCCGAGCAGAGGAAAGTAAAGGGTTGCTCGGGGCGTGCCCCCACCTTTCACCCTTCTGCCGCGGCACTGTCGCAAGATTTACGACGATGCTGTTGCTCCTGTTGCAGTTTGCAACCATGCACTCGCTTCGACATGTGTCGGACAGCACTGACCAATTTCCATGGGTTTCCTGCGTCTGCCAATACGATGAATTTGACAAACAACGACAAGCCCCCTGAGAATTCGCTCGTGGTCGTTCCCGGTAAATATTCTACAAGATAGATGGCCCAGCCCCCGTCTCCCTCTCTCTTTAACGCACACGTGACGTCAGATGATATTTCCTGCACACCGGAAATTGATAATCTTTTTCCGGTATGCGTCTGACGCATCGGCGAACCATTTAATATCTTGCACCGCTTGTTGTTGCGCGAACGCTTTATCGAAATTGGATAAATGCCTCGTAAAAATAACGAAGGACCTATGGACTCGCGATAAAATATTGTTGTTTTCGTCTTCAATTCGGAATCTCTCTCCGTAGTTTCGTAGATAACAGCGTCCTTCGTCAGCTGCCAAGACTGTCAAAGTGATGCTATCGAGACAAGTTGTTCCTCTTCCAAAGCTGTGTAAACAAGATTCGTAGAAGAGATGGCGCGATAAAAATCCACCGCGTCTATGTTGCAACGATTAAGAGCGCAACGCTGAAGACCGTCCTGCGTTGAAAAAATGATCTTTCACGCGCCAAGTGCAACGACTTGTCCCCGTTCTTACGCCTGCATTTTCTCCGTCGTACCTGCACCGGACTTCTGTCCGTATTGTGTATCCTACGGAGCGCAATAATGGTGCCTATCTGGTGGTGATCGGTAGCGCGAAAGTGTCGTCACCTCGTCCTGCCAATGATCGCTTTACAGCCACCATAAACCGACACTTTGTGCAGTTTGTGTAGCTCAGTTCGAGCCGGCACGCATTGTGAACGCTCCCTTCCAGCATCGACCAGGATCTTTTATAGATTTATGGTAGGACGTACGCCACAAAGAGTACCGAGGAACCTTGGGAAAGTAGTCCCTGTTATCACGTGCTACCGTGCACCGGGGAGGGCGTCGCGGGCCTCTCCACGCTTTGATACGTCTTTGCAAATCTCGTCCGCCTCCATTCAGTCCCGTCAAAGGGGCCCTAAATACCGTAAAAATTCTACTTTGACTCTTTTCATCGAACAAACGAGCATCGTGCGTCGCTCGAACTTCTCCGGTCGCAAAATTTCACAGAATTCTGCTGGTCTTTGCGCAACTTGTCCTGCGAGACATAATGGGAAAAAGGGGTGAGGTGAAGAAAAAGTCGAACGAAAGTGCAACTTCTGCATAAGACAGTTTGCAGCAGGTTACATAATTGCGACAACGTGCGTCGCACTCGAAACGGAGAGACCGCTAATTAAACGAAAATGCCCGATCCACTAATTAAACTTGAACGATTAAGCTTATTCCTCCTACCGTTTCTACCGATAATTATTACCTACCGGGTCCACTGCTCCCCGAAACTTGGGCGGTCGAATCGTGAGGCAATGATTTCACTTGGAGGTCGATCGCCGGTTAACCGTACGAAAAAATTCTCCACGTTATTGTGGCTACGTGAACAAATTGCAGGAGGATTTTTGAACGAAACGAAACGACAAGTGGAATACGAGAAAGGATCTAAACGCGTACATTTGCCTGCCAGTCGAGCGATTCAAAATAAATAATCGTACGTGGTCGGTGTAAAATATGGCGATTTGTAAAAACTACGGATACTACGGAGAGAGTACCGTAGAATTGACGAAGGCTTTCCTCGGCGGCATGAGGCAGCCCCCAGGGACGACCACAAAAGGTGCGTAGCCTCGATCCTCGGAACGCAGGGTTGATTTATGAGCCGATGGAGGGGAGGGCGCATGCGCACCGGGCCACAGGATTCACTGGGGTCTATCCCCACCTCCATAGAGGAACCCGGCAGAGCATTCAGCCTCCTCCCTTCTTCTTCGGTTCCTTGTCCACTCGGTTATTAAAACCGAGGCGACACGGTCGGCAACCAGCAATTATCTGGCGAACGCTCCGAGCCGCGCACGCTCCGATCCGCGCACCGCTCTCTTCAGTTCCCTTTTCCTTTCCGTTTTCGTTCGCGCTTGCATACAAAAACAAGTGATATCAAGATTACGGAATTACTCTGTTTCATCTCACGGAAGAATCTCGGAGGAATAATTATTCCCGGAGGAAAATCGCCAAGAATCAGGAAGTGAAGTGATGGCACAAGTGATGCAGTATCAACAGGTCCGTAATAATAATACATCTGTGTAAATATAACGTATCGTAATGGCGGGACAATAGTGTCGGAAGTGAAGATAACAAGGTGATAATTGTTTATCAATTCGTGCGAAGCTCTGTGTATTATAACCGTCGACACGTCTAACGTGTCTGATCTCCTTTTGAAATTTGTCGCGTGAAAAGGAGCGCTGATCGTGAGACCTGACTTCAGACGATAGAGTATCGAATCGACTTTAAAATAACTTCAATCTGATTCGTGTTACAGATATGCATGCCGACGATGTCGCCCATGCCTGGCATGACGCCAATGTCCGGCATCCCGATGCCGATGCACCAGCCTACCGCTATGGATTACGGAAGTCCAGGCATTCACTATCAGCCCTACAATCCGACGTTAAGCAGCCATCATCTTCAAACCAGCCAATCGAGCTACTGGTACCCTGGATCCACGAGTCACAGTCAAATTACCGAGCCGCTCACGCCGCCGGCGTACACCATGTCCAGTGTTCCAACGAGCACAGCCTCGTGGACCACTCAGACTCACCTTCCACAACCTCAGCTCACCACCATTCCAACTATTCAACATTATTCGTTGCCACCGAGTCCACCTGAACTACCGCCAAGCCCTCAGGACCACTCGTCGCCCTATCAGTGGCCGCTAACGCCACCGGCGGATCATCACTTCTTGACCACGGAAGATCCCGGAAAATCTGGCAGAAAGTGTACGAGATGTCGATGCCCGAATTGCCAAACGGACAGCGGAAGTCAATTGGGCGTGGACGGGAAGAGACAACACGTATGCCACGTGCCAGGCTGTGGCAAAGTGTACGGCAAAACCTCTCACTTGAAGGCACATCTCAGATGGCATACCGGCGAACGACCTTTCGTCTGCAACTGGCTGTTCTGCGGCAAAAGGTTCACCAGGAGCGACGAACTGCAGCGTCACCTTCGAACTCATACCGGGGAGAAGAGGTTCGCCTGTCCTACGTGTTGCAAGAGATTCATGAGAAGCGACCATCTCACGAAACACATCAAGACCCACGAAAATCAGAAGAAAAAGAGTTCCGCGAGTAAAAAAGAATGTAATAAAGAGAATTCGTTGCCGGCTGCGTCCACGCAGAACGCGTATCCACCTATCGGTGGACAGTACACCATGATTTAGGATTGTGAGGACTGTTTTAGGAAATATTATTCGGGTTCTTTATATAGAACCTACGTGACTGGAGATCGTAGTACGTCTGTCTTTTTGTAAATAGCTGAATCTTTATTAAAAAGTTCCTTCGTCCCTCTTGTAATTATTGTACATAGATAAAGCGACAGTGAGAGAGAGAGAGAGAGAGAGAGAGAGAGAGAGAGAATATTTTTGCAAATTACGTATAAGTTTAGACGAATGTAACTAAGTTATGTAATGGAAATATAAAAAAATATACGGGAATGTTACGGAGAACGGAGCGTCGATTTACCGTGAAAATTCACATAATAACGAATCATCCCTCTGTCGTATATCAGGTTCTTCCCTGACATCTTCCTGTCATACGATACATCGTGAGTCCCGCCCAAGGAGCACAATACGATGCAGGCACTTCAGAAACCAGCCCTTCGTAGCCCCTCGATGATTTCCTACCTGGCAGGTGTTTCGATAAAGGGAAGAAAAAATATCATTTCACGGAAACTACCCCGAATATCTTGCCCGACTCTCCCTAACGAAGAAACCATCGTCCTTTTTCTTTCCTACGCTCGCAAGACGAAGATCCATTCGAAGGGGGATAGTATCGAGGGGGAATTCCTCGAGACACGTACGGCACTGCAACGGGCCGTTTCATTCGTATTCCAGCCAAGAGATGGCTGCACTGTGAATGGAAAAAGCCCGCGTAGCCCTATTAAGGGGGCGGCGCGCCGTAGCCCCGTTGCCCCAGCAAGGATTCATGGCTGGCACGTAGAGGTAGAGGCGAATGAGGCAGACGCGGTGATAGAGGTAGAAGAAACGGTGAGAGAGGGAAAGCTAGATGGCGAAGGTGAAAGAGAGACGGTCGAAAGAGACTGGAAAGAAGCGACGAAAGCGAGACAGAGGTTGAAAGGAGAGGGGCGTGGGCGGGGGGGTTACGAAAACGGAATAAAACAAAAAGGAGGCAGTCGCGGAGCAAATTATAGGGAAAAATAGGGAGGGACGAGGCGGAGGAGGCGAGCACAAGCCCCGTGGTGTGGCACTCACCGAGGAAGAGGATCAGGTGGATGGGTGGAAGGGCAGGAGAGGAGGAGGGGTGGCGCCACGGCAATTCCAGGCTCGCGTTCAACGTTCCCTCCGTCGAGTACCGCGGATAGCCGCCAAGTTAGTGCGCAAGAGATTCAAAGAGAGTCCAGAGTGACGGGACCAGCGAGTGTCTCCTGTTTTGCCGCCTCTCTCGTCAGCTTCTGTCCCGGACAGACCACACCACGAGGAGAGAACCGCCGAGCAAGAGAGACGCGTGAGCCAGGAACGACGAAGCCGGACAGCTCCGACTAGCGCGGAGAGGGAGTACACACGCTCTCTGTACACGCAGCTCTCTCTTACGTGTTACGCGCGGTCAGTGCGAGAGGCTGCAACGTGCCGCGAGCATGCGTCTGCGACGGACGGCCCTTGAGGCGGATACGCAACACGCCGACTCCTCGTTTACGTTGTTGTCGTCGTTTACGTCGTCGTCCTCCTCGTCGTTGTCCACCACCTCCACCACCTCACCACCGGACTTATGCGCGCACTGATACCACCATCGAGAGGGCGAAGAATGGACGAACAGGTTCGTAGCCGCGCGCATGTCACCGATCCAGCTGAGGCCGGTCTCGATTTTTAGACGATCGACTCGCGATTCACGTGCTTCTTCACTCGTATACCGGTGCATGCTACGTTTCGAAAAACAGGCTGGAAGCCTGACATCTTCGTCGATCGTCGGCGAACATGGGCCGAGCAGTGTTCCCAATGAAATTTCACGCGGCTGTGTTCGATATCTGTCGTGTGAAATCGTACTACGTTCGACCGTCCTGTATTTTAGTGAATAAACATAACAAAGGTTGCAGTGGTGTCGAGTCGGTGTAGAAAATCGGAGAATTCGTTCGGTGACTAACTGACCGTGTTGTGCCAACCTTCGATGCTTCGTCGAGGGCTTCGACAGCAAACCTTCGAAGACAGTTTTCGTCCCCGTACATTCGGTACACGTGCGTCTTGTCCAGACTTGACTAGCGGCGCGACACGGTAGTAGCTCGTGGAAAGAATGTTTCTGACGCTCCTCGGTTCGACGCCTGTTCAAAATTGCGACGCAGTTAGTTTTACCGATCAGTGTGGACATTGGTGGACGTGCAGATCGAACTGAGAATCGAAGAGGGCTCGTTCGCCAACCAAGCACCAACGTCGTTTGTCGAGATTTTTTCGATCCACGAGACCAATCGAGCCGGCAAGCTGGACGCGGAGGTCGGAGGCGGCGGGGGCCGCAGGGGTATCAGCCCTCCAACACACCTCGGCAACATAAACGTGAGTTTTTACCTCGACGTTCGCGTATACTTAATCCTTTTAGGCTACTATATCTTATATTCGGAATTATTCCGAGCTTTAAAACGTTGGTTTATGGATATAATTTGTACGCCTAAGAGGATTATGTGCTTAATATTGCTGCGAATGACCTGTTTCACCGCTGGTTGTAGTGTTTACATTAGCTTAAGCGTAGCGAGCGCATGATAAACATGGTAAAAACGTATAGTACGTCGAATCGATAAGATTTCTCGTGTATTTTCCACTTCTTCGTGTGTTGTGCAAGTGTCGAGAACATGCACGCAGGCATGAAATAGTTGGAACGCCTTACGCCTCCTAATTATGAACAATACTTGAGAGAGTGGGCAAGTTGCACGAGGCGATACATCGATCTTCCGTTTATCGACGCCACTTACAACGTTTCCCCCGCTTTTACCACCGTAATCACGATCGTTACCTGAAATTACGCATAATAAATGAAATTTCTACGTTGGCTCGTTCCATTGTGTGTAAACCCCGACAGATGTATCGTGTTAATCTGCGACCTGTGACAAGTACAAGCTTAATTGGCATTCCTTACGTAGCCAACAAAAAGACACGGAACGTCGTGACGACTTAATGTCCCCACCTTTTTAATAGTTCATCGCGATAAAGGGTTACTTCACCGCTTGATGATAGGTGATTATCGAGAGGGAAACACGTGACGATAGGACGCAAACGAACTACCAATTTACTCTTTGCATTTTTCCCTCGTTTCAAACGTCGCGACATTCTTCGAAAATTTACTCGTTAGGGTCGAGATAGATACCGGCAGGACCGCCAAAGTTAATTTCAAAGCCTCAGTTTGGTTGCACGAATTCGTTTAGAGTGCCGCTAGTCAGTTCTGACCGATATAGTAAACGTTACTATGTTGCTACGCCCGTTTCACGCCCACCATACATCACGCGTTATGCCTCGGACCTACCTGTCGACGTATACGCCGTTTCAAAGGTGTTACACGCCTTATTATTAAATTTCCTTCGCACAAACTTTACGCAAGACTATCTACGGCTTTGTGCTTGACGTGGAAAAAACTTACTTATCGCGTACAATTTGTAAATACGAGGATCGAGCGTGTTTATTATCACTCGGTGTAAATAGTAACACTTTTTGTCACCGCTCAATAATTCATAGCGTGCGACGCGCAAGCGAATTTCAAGTATTCTTCGCGGCGTCGTTTCGAATACAGCGTGGCTAATTTAATGGAAAACCGGCTAGGCTTTTACAAGGAGGAACAAATATATTTGAGAGGTTATGAAACCATCTGTAGGTAGCCGAAGAGTAGGCCGTTCGGCCGAGTTGAAACGCGGCAGAGCAGACAGTCGTAGGGCAAGAAACACAGTGCCGGCACTTCGCTGACACACCTCCACACAAATCTAATTAATTTATATCCTGAGAGAGGCGCCACTAGGGATGCTAAGTCCGACAGGAAAAAGAAAGGAGCAAAGGGAAGGGTACCCGTGGTACCGGCTCTCTAGCTTTCGAGTCGCTCTTTTACGGCCGAAGGATTCAGAAACTCTTCTCGAACATTCTCGAGGAAGTACATATACACATAATGCTTTTTCCTCGTCCTTTTGTTTCTTCAATTCTCCAGCTTTATCGGCCACGATAGAATCTTGATTCGAAGGTGATTAACAACCGCGTAAATAACTGCATTTTTCAAGTGGCGCCTCGAAATTATGCCAACCGTAAACGAACAGCTTGGCGCCGGCAACAGGAAGAAAAAGAGTAGGGTAATTATCGCGTTGCGCGAGCAACGAACTATCGTTAATTGAGAGAACTCGACCGCGCAACTTTGCAACATTTGACGAGAACCGCGACGCTCTGAATAACCGTTGGTTACATTGTCAACAATGATGGGAATTATAGAATGGAACAGACACGAAAAAGCACGCCATAATACCACCACGGCCAGCGGGTAATTAACCTGTCCCCTCAGAAAATGTACACGCGTCGCGCACACGTACCACTCGAACCCTCATTAGCGGTTTACCCCGAGTGTCGCGTGAACTTGGCACCTGCAAATTCCCACCTTCTAGCTTTTTGCCGCGCGCCAAACAACACTGGATCACCATCTTCGCCCTTCGGTGTAGACCAGTGCTGCCCATAGGCTAAGAAATCGCACCAGATGCAGACGATCTCCTCGCAGCTGTTATAGATTATGCAACCTGGTCGAGAATAAAGACATCGGAGCCTCTGCGTCTGTGACGACCAAGACACGAGTGGTTAAAAAAGAAGAAAAAAGACGCCGCACCGAGTAATTAGAGCCTTGCTACTTAACCTGTTCTGCGTTACATATCGAACATTGTTACATGAAAATTGAAAAAATAAATTGTCCGATGTGCGGAACGATAGAAAGGAACACCTGTCTCGTTAGATTCGACCGAAATATTATTAAGCTATTATTTTTAATTAAAAAGATACCGTACCCCACTTCCTCTCCTAGCAGTATGTACACGATTAATAATAATTTGTACGGAGTAAACGAGTCTCCCAACATTTACAACTCAGCGAGAGCACGTGCGCGGAATAAAATAAGCGGATTATGCAGATGAGAGTCCGATTCTGTCACTTTTGATTTACGGTCGCTCCTTTAAGGAGCGTGTAAGCGACAGAAGAAAAGA